TGCACCAACTTGCGAGAATCGCCATGGGCAAGGTGGGGCCCCACGCGAATCGAAGGTTGCTGGTGCGCCGGACCGGATGAAGGGGAGAGGGGGTGCTGAGCAACGGAGTAAGGAGAGGGTTCGCGAGAGGAAGGATGAGGTACGGTCCGACATTCCGAGAATGACCAATAATTAGCCTCCGCGATTGGTGCACTTTTCCGAGAACTTATTTTTTTTAGCGCCGCGCCGAGTTCTCGCGCCTGGGTTGCCGCGAATCGCTACCGGGATCGTAGGATTTTTTCTTCGCGCCAGTGGCGTGGCGTGAACAGCGATATATCGATTGTTATGCCATTTAAACCTATGGAAAAGGATCGATAAACATGGTGTTCGCAGCGAACACCTTAATAATAGATTCTTTGCCATAGGTTTCAATGGTATAACAATCGATATATCGCAATTCTCGCCACTGCTTCGCGCCACCACCGCGAGTTTCGGAGTTACGATCCCACGAAATCCACGACTCTGTCGGATTACCCAAAAGAGGGAACTCCCGGGCCTTGCAGCCGTGCTAGGGGAAAACGCCGTATGAATATTCGAGAGTTGCCAAATTTCTCCGGGTAAAACATGTATTTCTTAGAAAAGTTCAGCTTATTTTTCCTTGAAATACTCAGATATTTTAGATTACATTGCAGGAAAAATAGGGAATTTGCAGGTGTCTGAAATTTGACGAATTTCGTGTCTAAGTGGAAACTATTGAGTGAACTGAACACGAGGATACCCTCGGTTCATAAATTGAACAATGATTGGAGAAGATATGACAAAATGATCTAATCTGCTGAAATACATTCCGCACTTTTTCAGTACTTCTGAACCGTCCTTAAAAAATTAGTACTATTTTCGAGCTTATACACACTTTAAAATAGCACTTTTACCATGAAAATCTCGGACATTCCTAGCTGAAAATTTCACCGATTTTTCTTCTGATCTCGAGGAAAAATCAGACAAATTTTGGACACGTTTTTCACGGGCACATTCTTCGAAAAAATTGAAATGTTTAAGTTAATTTTGCAGTCTCCGAATGGAGTTCCGCTCCTTCGTCCGGGAGACGACGAAATGAGGCCACGCTGAAGTTGGCTAATTGGTGTCTCTCGAGAAACGTCCAATCCGCTAATTTAATTAAACTGTCTTTTGTTTACAGTCTGTTTCACGCCGTTTCTTCGATTCTCGCTAATTTTAATTTCCTTAAGCTCGGATTTGATCTAATGAACTTTCCCGCGCGTAAGATTTACCACCTGGCGGGGTCGCTGACCGGACCCTGACAGAACACAAGACTTCATTTTTGTTTTGCTAAGGATGTCTATAGATATTAAAATTTGAAAAATAGATAGGAAATTTTTCCGAGGTCAATAGAAAATAAAGTATAGTTGTAAGGTAAAAAAAAGCAAACACAATCTACTTTATTCCTACCAATTCTCCTGGCAAAAACTAGACGCCATCCATATTTCAGGTCGGAAGGAGCGGAGTATGGTTCAATTATGACTATTTGTATATGTACCACACTTTAATGTGCTAAAGTTTCGCCATTACGCCTAAAAATCATGTACGTGTATTTAGGTCTGTAATGTCACAGATTTCCTGGTGCGTTTTGTTTCTTCAAAAGACGAATAGTCATCGTTTTGATTTCAAATTCCGCGCGGTTCATTAGAATTATTCTTTGAAAATGTCGCACGTAAACGTCAGGATCAGTTTTCCCATTGGAAAAAAAAAAAAAAAAAAAAAAAAATCCGAGCAAAGGACGACTCGTTTTAGTAAACTAAAGAAAATGCTACAAATTATGCTCAGGTACTTTTTTTCATGCGATTTTGAGGGCCGGCAACGTTGTAATACATTAAAGTAACGCATTTAATGGAAAATTGACAATACAGCGATGAGAACCAGTGATTGTTCACTTTGTCGGGTCAATGGGCAACGTTGAAATTCAGATAAGGTGTAGGAGAAACAATTAAAGCTTCAGTTAGTGTTGCACGCGACGGATACTAGACGAATTTCATTGCAACGCCTGGATGCAACTATTCGAGCTCCATGGATGTCCGTGTTGCATACGCACGGATATGAAGGCGTTTTGACTTCAGACACCAATTGCCTAACCAGCGGCGCTCAGTGCAGCGTTTCAATGAGTGATGTCTGGCAATTTGACACCACTAAAAGCTCATATCGATGTAAAACAGAACGTACAGATCTTAGAAGTGGTTTCATTCATCATCTAGAAATTCTATGGTAGAAATGCAGAAATGCATGCAGGCCCGCCACAAGGGGGGGGGGATACTGGGCCCCTGGTACCGGGGCCCGGGCCCTGGAGGGGCCCGTGACGCAGGTAACAAACCACTACGAATTCATGTGTAACCCTTGTCTCGTAGGGAAAAGTGAAACAATTACCCTAAAAATTCCGCAAAAAGTGAATAAAGTTTCAAAAACACGCTAGGGCACTATAAAATTGTTCTTACTTTTTTAGAGATTTTCAAGATTTTGAGTATATGTAGAATGATATTTTTAGTAACTGTGTTTCATTTTCTCCCGTTGTCGGATGCTAAGAGGCTCCTTTCTGGGCATCCTCGACTTCAATGGCTTAACTCCCTTGCCATAGACGTGCGAAAGGGGAGTCCAGGGGGGCCCGGCTCCCCACAGAATTGAAAATTATCATCTGCCCCATCAAAAAAAAATTTATAGATGTTTTGAATGCAACAATTCGAAAGTTTTTGGTGCTGAAAGTAAACAAAAAGGCGTAATTATTCTGCAGAAATTGATGGAAAATCTCCATCATAAGAGCTTCATAATGCGTCCAAATAGATTAAAAATTTCAAAAATTTCCCGGGGGAGGCCCCCCGGACCCCCCCCTGTGCTAGGGGCCCGGGCCAGAAAATTGGTACCAGGGCCCGAGATGGGATGTGGCGGGCCTGTGCATAAGTGTTATAGGTCGCGGCGTTGCAGACTTCCTGTCATACTTCATTTTCTACATGAAAAACTACAAAACTTTATTTTTTGTAAACTTCGGCCATTTTTCTTCTCCACGTGAAGAATATTCTGAAAAAATTTCAAGTCATGATGTTGGGTGGGTCTCCTCTAAATAAAAAAATTGGAGCGGAGATTTTGAAACACCACGGCCGAGATGAGCTTTTTTCTAGTTCCACGGTCGATTATTCACCTAATGAACAAGTACGTGTCGTCGAAACCCAGGGGAAGGGAAGGAATTCTATTCCAGGGTTGCACAGTCAACGGAAAAAATTAAATTTTTGGCAAGACTCCGCCTTCGCAAATTTCCTTTAAAATTTGTTTGATTTTGGTAAACAATCAAGGGAAGAATCAGTGAAATTCTCCGTTGGAAATGTCTGACCATTACCTCGTAAAAATATAATTTACGAAAGTAAATTTGGCAATGTTGCCACGTTACCTTCTCTTGTCGGAAGAACGACGGCGAGAGGAAAATACCGATTGAAAAAACAAGAAAATGTCGCAGCTTTCAACGTCAAAAAGAATTAGTACATGGAGATGGAACAGGTCCATACTGCCAATCCTTGAGAGCTGACTCTAGAAATTTTTTGCGACACGATAAAGAGAAAAAAATTAATTAAAAAAAAGTAATTATGCCATGCCGTGACATCGCTCTACGATACTCCCTATTTGCACTTCTGATTCGACCGGATCCAGATCCCCGTCGTAAACCCCATCGAACAGACGGCATTACGCGAGATGGAGCGAACTTTTCTGGCTCATTCATAAAAGCACCGACATGCACGTGAAAAGCCAAAGAGGCTGCGTTGTTTCTAGGAGAAGCCAACATGGAGTCCTCCCTGCAATGTCGTTCCGATGTGCTTTACCTACTCAAAATTTACAATCAACGATATAAAAACGAACCCAGCGGGAGACTGTACCCAGTCATTTTCATTTTTGATCGAAATTCATGGACCGACGAGCTGGTTCTTTGAGGAGGCGCGCGGTCTAAACTAGCGAGCTGGTACGCCTTGCGATACATCGATAAATCTGTCGTTTAAACCCATGGGAGAGGATCGATAAATAGAGTGTTCGCAACGAACACCTTAAGAATCGATTCTTTACCATAGCCTTAAAATGGGAAATATCGAAAATCGATCATCCATACCTCACCACTGGTTCAAACGTTTTTCTTCAGCACGCGATGGACCATGCCCTCACTACCGACGGACCTTCTTTCTCATTGTGAGCACTTCGTAAATGGAAACCGGACGCTTGTGAGCAAAATCACTAGAACGCTAATTGATGAGATCATCCGTAATTTCGAAAGAGTTCTGTGTAACTTGGGTTCAGAAGCTAGGTGCTAAGCCCAACTAGGCCCAACCGGTGGCGCCTGCCCAAAGTTTCCACTTGGGTGACGAGTGTTGGGCCAGTCCCGCTGCCACGAACTGCAACGGTAATTTCCTGATTTTTGACCTAACGGCGACTAATTCCTGTGTGTGTGGTCTCGTATCTCGTTCAGGTTCACGCTACTGTACCTCCAAAGAGAGAGGCAAGTAAAGAAACGAGGTATTCTACGTGGCTACGTTTTATGGGCACATAAAAATCAAATCTTTAAATGAGAAAATAGCAGACAGAGGCACCATTTCGCTTGACGCAGCATTTGGTACAGCTCTTGAGCGGAATAATGTGGACTTGCTGTTTTTTAGTCTGTAATAAAATAACATCAATTTTCCCACACTCGCTGGTTCCTCATAATTCTTGTTTTCAGGCCGAATTTGACTGCTCCAATTCACATTGTCCAGCTCATGGAAATACGGTTCATCGAATTCTGAAGGAAACTCGATTTTGAACATTTTGGCACGACTGCTGTCTTCGGTGATACGGTAGTGCGGAAGATTCCTTCACGAAATACCGATCCAAGTATGTCTTGCAACAACTGCTTCATGTTAATATGCGATTTACATTACTATGCTACAGATTATTGATATTTCTACAGTTCCGGCAATAATTCAAACTGAATTAACACATACCTTTAGAGGGACTACCGTTAGAGATTCGATTCCGCTGTTTTTGACCCGTCGTGGATGGGGTAACTCCTCTACGGATTTTTGCACTTGGAGGTTGAGATCAATTGACACAAGTCCGGCCACAAACGAACTACGAAACTACGAGAGAGAAAGAGTGCAAGACAAACTCATCTGCTTGCAGACTCAACACTTTCATTTTCAGCTCGGGACATCAACATGCGAATTCCAAAAAATTTTAGTAATCGATGATAAAATAATATCAGGAATTCCGAAAAAACAGTTCGACTTTTTCCCGCTTTCACCGATAAGGCGCGTGGGGTTAGCACCACGGAGCGCGCGAAACTCGAAGAGAACGCCTCTCCTGCGAAGTCACTACAAATTTTGAGGATAACCGATGCTACTTCAAATAGAGACGGAAAACTGGAGGAAAACACGAAAGATACCTGAAAAATTCGATAAGGTTTTAGAAAAATTCAAATTTTCAGGCGAGACTTTCGTCTACTTGGACCGATAACACTCTGCAGGGTAAAAGCGTTCAGAAGAAAAACCTTGGCAACCAGTGCTTGCGATATTATGATGATAGAAACAGACACGCTAATATTCCGATAGTATTATAATAATAGAAATAGACACGCTAATTAAAACTCGAATTTTCAGGCGAGACTTTCTTCTACTTGGGCCGATAACATTCTGCAGGGTCAAAACCGTTCTGTAGAAAACCCTTAGCAACCAGTGCTTGCGATGTTATACAATGATAGTTAGAAATAGACACGCTAATATTCCGATAGTATGATAATAATAGAAATAGACACGCTAATATTCCGATAGTCTCGATGATGTGCGACATGGACGTGGGCGCTCCGTCGAGGCGAGTTTCTGCGGCGGTACTGAGTGTGACGTTTCGGGGCACCGCAGCGTGTCGGTTGCCTCATACTGATAAAGACTCTTCAATGGGAGCTTCCGCGCGTGGAGGCGGCCCTGGCGGCGGGAGGGGCGGGGAGAGGAGGCGGATTAAAAAGACGGGAGAGGAGATACCGAGATGAGACCGCGCGCCGCCGCTTCCTGGAAGTTGAGTCCAGGATCGGGGATTAGGCTCCGCGAAATGCAGGCAGCCATGTCGAGGTGCCCGTTCCCTCCGTTTGATTGCGTTATAAATATCGATTCCAGGTGGGGGTGGCTCCATGTATTCAGGGTGGAGGTCGCAGAACACGCGTCTCCATTGGAAGTGGTCAAAATCCTTTCAGCAGTTTCACTGATTCATTTCGATCATTTCATGGATCGAGTCGATTGGAGAGCTCGGACGTGAATTTTTTAAAAAACTTCAAATTTCCACCTTTATTCCGTCAAATTTTGAATTTTTGAAGGGTGCTCAGGGTGTCTACCGGCCCCCAAAAGTCCCCAATGTCCCCGATTATCCCCAATTTTGAAAGGGTGCACTGGAAAAAAAACACATTGGATCTAGAGTCCGGACTCTTGAAAACATCGACAAGAAAAAAAAAAACTCTTGATTCAATCGGATTTTAGCTTGAATCAATAATCAAGCCTATTAATTTGAGCGGATTTCCTTTTGAGTTAAGCAAAAATCTGATTGAATCAAGAGTATTTTTTCTTGTCAATGTTTTCAAGAGTCTGGACTCTAGATCCAATGTGGTTTTTTTCCAGTGTAGTATTTTTCAAAAACAAACAATTTTTTTTTTACGTACCTGATCAAAATCTCCTCTGCTGTTTTACTATTCATTTTTAGTATTTTCCAAAAATGCACATTTTATTTTCCTTACATTTTAGAAAAACTGGTGGACGTCATTCTCTGAGATATTGCCTGAACCGGACGAGAGACTCTGTGACTTGTTAAAATCTCCTCTACTGTTTTATTTATTCGTTATTAGTGGAGAAAATAAACTATGTGAAAGTATTTTTTTTTTTTTTGGGGGGGGGGGAATCCGATGGACGTAATTCTTTGAAATATCTATTGCCTGAAACAAGACAAAAAAGGAGAGGTAATGATAAGGGCTGAAGTAGGCCTTGGCCAAGAATCCCGGGAATTTTCGGTATTGTGCAGCTAACAATGTGTGCTTTCGGAAATATTTGAGTTTAGGCTGAACTCACTTGTTCCGACCTCAAAATAGGGGCCCAAATTTGGGTCTGAAGGCCTCAATCGGCGAAAAATTGTGCAGGGGTGCTGACACTTCCCGATCACGTGATCTTGATTGCGTCACGTAAAAAACGGGGAATGGAAGAGGCTACAGAGTTATCATAATTTTTTTTTACCCATCTCGATTGGTCTTGTAAGTTTCCATCAATGCATCCCAGTAATACACTTACTTTCGGGATGGGCCTGGGTACTTATATAAATTGCCGCAATTTTGCACAAAACACATGATTGTTACTGCCATTATATGAAAAATACGTGATTTCTACTGCGGTTTGAAAAAAAAAAAAAAAAAAAAAAACCACGATTATGCCGGCTTTCCAAGTTTCACACGCGATCGATCGCGACTCGCCCGGTTGCGTGGGAGAGAAGTTTGTAAGCAACCCTGAAGAACCGGTTGAGATCTTCAGGGTGTATAGCAAATCATCAAATTTTGAGGAAGGCAAATTGTAAAAGTGGGCAGGTTAAGAACTTTTTTCACCCCTAAAGACGGGATTTTTCAGCGTTACATTTCCGGTTCTGCACTAGGCCCCAGGGTGACATTGATGTTCTTTGAATATGTAGTTGGGGACCACTTGAGGCCTGTCGATTGTCACCTTCGAGCCGATGTTCGTCTTTATCGCTACCGATTACCTCTTTTCAGAAAAACTGCAAATGATATGACTTCTAGAGTTAGAGCGAGATACTGACAAATGGGTGCCAGAATTATGAGAGCAATGGAAAGTTATCTTTGCTCAACCCAAAGGTCACTTGTATCGTGTTCATCGAAATGGACTGAGTTGAGCAGAAAGGAACCAACCCACATTTTGGAAAAAATTGAGTTATGAGTGGTTTTGAACTCAACCACTGCTCTACTATCTATCGCAAAAAGTCCAAAGTTTTTGTTGGAGCAAATTTTGCAGAAATTGAACTTGAAGTTTATCGTTTACATTGAGTCTTATGCAGGAGCCAACCTTTAAACCTCTTTTTTTCGGTTCGATCCCGATGTGGCTTGGTTCCTTTCAGTTTAACTCCGTCCAAATGGAACTAGGCGACTTTGCCTTTGATCTGAGCATAGCAGATTCCTGAAATTTTTTTTAAGGGCCCAAAAAATAAGAGGGGAGAAGCTTAAAGTCAAATTTTCGCCAACAATGACGATGGACCCCAGTGAAAGATTTTGCGAAAATTGGCCGAATAAATGCGAGACCCCCATGAAGAACAACACCGCATTCGCTGCAGCTCTCGAGACAAAGATTTGGGACGCCTTGTCATTGTGATCGCATAATGCTATTGTGTGCACTCTTTCACCGCGCCTACACCTACCTGTGCATTACCGCGAATTGAGCCCTCGAAATCTCAACCGTGGAACATACGGTCTAACGTCCAGTGGTTCTTGACTTCCATTCAGTGTTATCTTCACTCTCATTTTCAGGACCGCGGTGGAGTTTCGCGCAGACCACTGCTGTGCTAAACTGCCGTACTGAGGAGGAACGCCGTTTGAACGTTCGAGAGTTGCGAAATTTCCTTCGACAAAAGGTTCATTTTTGAGGAAGGTAATAGATATATTTCCTTGGAATTTTCAGAAGTTTGAGATCAAATTACAAACAAAAGTATCTGAGAAATTGGCGGAAAAATATTCAAAAATTTTCCTGAAAATTATAGAGTTGACAGAAGAAATTCGGCAACGCCTGAAGGTTCATGAGCGTTTTTCCTTGGCACGGCGGTGAAGAAGAACGCCGTATGAGGATACGAATGTTCCAAAATTTACTTTTAGAAAATATTCATTCTTGAAGAAAGTTATGAATATTCTTTCTTCAAATTGTCAGACTTTTCAGATCAAACTACGAACGGAATTCCCTAGGAAATCGATAGAGATATGTTCACAAACTCTGAAAATTCGTGATTCGTCGAAGGAAATATTTGGTAACGGCTGATAGCGAGTACGGCGTTCTTCCTTAGCACGACAGAAGAGTGGCTGAACAAATACAAACGGTTAAAAAGCTGGTACCTATTCTATTTTGTCAGAGGATAAGAATGCTATGTTTTAAAATTAACACATTCTGTCTCTGGTTGAAAATCGGCAGATGGCAAAGAAAAGCTCATTGCGTTATGATTTCTGAGTAAAGTGGGGATTGATCGTTGAAGTGGCGAAGAGGGTAGATAATGAGGAGTATACACATGAAACTTTCGAAAGCTCCGGAAATTAGACGGTGCGAAGAATAATAGTGACAGACGGGAGCCCATTAAGAAAGAGCAGCTACTTTTCTAAAATCTAGACAGCTCAAAACTCAAGTTCTGAACTACATTTGCTCGTTCCTTTTCGTTGGTCGTACGAAACAATCCTGCTACAGCATGGCCATAAAATAATCTTTTCGAAATCGACCCTTCTCTCTTGTTTTTTAGCCCCCCCCCCCCCCCCCCCCCCTACCGATCCACTCTTAATTGGCGCATGACAAATCCGTGGAATAGCTTCCATATCCAGTGTGTAACACAAAACAGACTCTTCATGCTGCCAATTGAAATTTCCGAGCTCATAATTAGGAGACGCGGTAACAATTTAATAGAGAGTATAACTAGATTAACTTCGCCAATATGAATGGATGTGACGTCGCGATAAGTCTGCGACAGAATAGGCGGCAATAATAACCTCCGCTTAGGTGGCTTTTGAGCTTGCAAAAAACACGAGGAAAGTGCTTGATCATACTAATCAACTGAATATATTACACGTGGGAACTGTTGTGCGCACGATTTTCAGTCTGACGTGGAAAATAGACGACCTGTCATTTTTCCCGGAAACGGGGGGAATCGGGCCTCGTTATCGGCTCATTATCAGGCTTCTTCTGAAAATTTGGAAAGTCACAGATTTTAACCTCTCTTCTCGGAAACCGAGCGCTTTCGTTTGCACTGGATCGGGCACGAAGCACGTCTGCGTCTGCATTTATCGTCGATCTTCTAACGTAAGGGCGCATCTTAATTCTTAATGAGCCCTGTCCTTCATATAACTCCATGCTTTTCATGGCTCGCGAAAAACGTGAGATACGCCCTTACGTCAGTAGGACGACGTTATAGGCCAAGGAAAGCAACCTTGGTTACACAAATTACAGATTTATAAGTGCGAGTAGCTCAAACGTTTGAAATCGAACATAGTACATTCGTCAATTTTTTGAAAGTCAACCTATCTTCCAGAGCACATTCTCTTTTTACTGAGGAGCACTGGAAAAAACACATTGGATCTAGAGTCCAGACTCTTGAAAACATTGACAAGAAAAAATACTCTTGATTCAATCGGATTTTGGCTTGAATCAAAACGAAATCCGCTTAAATTAAGAGGCTTGGTCCTTGATTTAAGCTAGATTTTGACTGAATCAAGAATACTTTTTCTTGTCGATGTTTTTAAGAGTCTCGACTCCCATGACCTCTGATCCCATGACCAAAGTTCTGTTCTCACGACAGGAAAATTCTGTAAGAGTAACAAAGAAACTGCAGAAGCCCTGCGAGCAGAAGGTTCTATCGTCAGCACCATCTATTTTTTTCTGTGTCGGCAATGATACTGGTTGGTTTTCATACCATGCCGTGGTATCATGCTGATATCAAGCTGAGCCAGCGTGATATCGCACTTTAGACTGACTGAAATTCAAGGAAAAGCAGACCGCAGCAACGGGATCGCCCATTTTAACTCACGTAATTTTGAACGATCTGAACGAACGGTTACTTAGTCCATATTTGACGACACGGAGTACCCGCTTTGATTCTAGATTACCCTAA